TTTATTCCTTAATGTATTGAAACCTGTGGAAACTGCCATCTCCTAAGGAACAAAGCACATGACCAGGGGGGCCTCCTTTCCCCCCTCAGAGCTAAAAAGTTCAGTGATAAAAACAGGTCAGCTAACTCATTCACAACACACAGAACAATCTTTGGAGAGGAATTATGCTTGACACAGATTCGTAGCTGCAAAAGGATTTGCCATGTTGCCGTCTCCTCCCTCCCCACCCTATGTAGTTATAGGAGGGATGGTGCTAAACTTTGTAAGTGATTCCTAAAGCAATGGGTCATTACCGATTATTTTTTTTAAAGCCATATGACATCACCGCAGTCTGTGTTTTCTCTCACCCACTAGTGACAGCCAAGGATGCAGATGGGGCAGCAGACCCACATGATAAAATGCATAAATGTGCTTGATTGTGAGCGGGGAGAGAATGGCAAAAGGGGGCAGCAATATTTGGGGGAGGCAGCCCATGTCAAGGAAAATGTGTTTTTCTGTCTTCAGTTGCGCCTGCAGTAACATACACAATGTTATGCAACTTCTGTTTATGGCAAAGAAGTCAGATTTGCAGTGAGCTGCTCCTGGCTGAGGAAAGTGAAGCCACATCACTAACCCCAACATATTCATAGCGCAAAGAAAGGGCACAGCTATTTGCACTGCAGAGACATGTAATGTTACACACACAGAGAGACCTTTATTGTAATAAAATGTCTAAGCAAATTATAAAAAATATTAAAATTATCAGTAGAAAGAATTAAAACAATTAGAAACATAAAATATTAAAATATGTCAACTTATGCTATTTATCAATATCTACTACAGTCATACCTCAAGTTACATCCGCTTCAGGTTGTGTTTTTGTCTTGTGTCCTGCGGCAATCCAGAAGTACCAGAATGGGTTACTTCTGAGTTTCGCCACTCGCGCATGTGCAGAAGCGCAAAATGGCACTGTGCGCATGTGCAGACACGGCGCTTCTGGATGCAAACGCTTCAAGTTGCCTCCAGGACGGATTACGTCTGCAACTTGAGGTTCCACTGTATTTATTAATGGTGGCACCTTCTTCCTCAGGTGGTTGTGGTCTCTCCTTTCTTGGAGGTTTGTAAGCAGAGGTTGGATGGCTACCTGTCAGGGATGCTTTAGCTGAGATTCCTGTATTGCAGGGGTTGGACTAGATGGCCCTTGGGTGCATTCCAGCTCTACCATTCCAGGATTCTATTAGTAACACTGATGTCTATTCTGCCTTGGCACTTTCTCAGCATTTATAATAAGCAAGAAGGAGAGATGTTTTAAACAGGGGTAATGACGATGGTATACAATTTTAAAATGTATTCCCTACTCTTATGTTAACAATGAAAATGTTAGTGAATGAATGAATGAATGCTTTTATGAGGGGAAAACAGCACCTGTTATAGCTCACACAGGAACCTGGCTCTCTCAGGGATGATCATATAATGGCTCCATTCCAATGGACTGCTCTTTCACAGCAGACTAGACCTCAAGTTGCAGAATATCGACCGGGGAGACAAAATTGCTTCTTGTGCTAAACATGTATACTGAACAAGGAAAGCAGATTCTAATCTTTTTCAAAAGCAGATACAGTGGTACCTCGGGTTACAGACACTTCAGGTTACAGACTCCGCTAACCCAGAAATAGTACATCGGGTTAAGAACTTTGCTTCAGGATGAGAACAGAAATCGTGCGGTGGCAGTGGGAGGCCCCATTAGCTAAAGTGGTACCTCAGGTTAAGAATGGTTTCAGGTTAAGAAGGGACTTCTAGAACGAATTAAGTTCTTAACCCGAGGTACTCTGTATTTTAACCTTGTATGCCCATACTAGCCAGTTCATCTGTTCATTTGGAGAAAAAGAGTAAGCCTCTAAGAATTGCTCATCTCTGTTGTTTGAGAGACTTAAGCTCAGCGGCAAAGGTGTAATTATTTATTCAATAAATCCACGTGTGCAAGTATAGAACAGCCAGCAAAGGTTCAAATGAGTGTCTGATGGAGTGAAAGAGACAGCTCTTGTCACAACAATGTCAGGCCTCACAATGAAGTCTTGGTTTGTGCTGGGTGAAATAGGAGGAGCCTCCCAAGTCCCCCCTGAAGTGAGGGCGCTTGAGGCGCAGCCAGAACAAAAGTGGGAATGCATGACTTAGTGAGCCCAAGAGAAAGCTCCTCTCATAACAATGTCAGGTCCCACTAATGAATACACACACAAATGAGAGAGAGATCCCTGAAGGGATGGGTGCAGACTTGATGACCTTTGGGGTCCCTTCCAACTGTATGATTCACAGGAATCCCATCTCACCATCACACCCGCCCCACCTCTCAGTTACTGCTGAAGAGGAGAGGTCTTATGATGGTTGTTGAAACACAGCAAAAGTTAAATTCAGAAAAACGGCCTGGGAGTTTTCAAAGCAACTTGCTCCTGTCTCCTGCCACATCCATTTCACGCTGCGCCACCCACCACATCACTCCATGCTCTAAACTTACCGATCAATAATGGCGCACATATCAATGCTGACGTTGGCGAAACTTCCCAGCTTTCCTTGTTCTACTGCATGCAAATCCACCAGCTGATCGTCGACATGAATAAGCTGCATGCAGCCTTGGAATGAGAGCTGAAGAAAACCTGTTTATAAGTAAACAGACAAAATAAGGGTTGCTGTTATATTCAACAGAAAGTTCAGGGAAATCATTTGCATGTACAGCTCATAGGATACATTGTCATTCCTTTGCCAAAGCACATCTCAGTAAAAATCAAATGCTGGGGGGGGGGGGAGGTAATAAGGAGCTTTTCAAAAAAGAAATATGATAAAGTGTGGACATTGTCTTTGTGGTGTAATTGCCTGTAACCGCAAGCATGGCATTTAACTCGAATTGCAAACAAGCCAGAAACTCAGTGATACCTATTAAAAATCTATTCTGGCAAATCACAATTTATTGTGTGAAACTCCACAGTGTTGCACCTTGCTGTAAACGCAGGACCCACGGATGATGAGACGTTTATTTTTATTTATGTAATGGAACCCCTTGTGGTTTTATTACATAAAACAGAAAGTGCTGCAAAAGAACAGCATGTTCCATGGCCTCTTGTCCACTAATCAGTGTTTACAAACAGCTAAAACACTTTGGTTCGGTGCACTCCAGGAAAAGAGGTGAAGAACCAGCTTCCCATGCTCTTATTGACTTGGACTGGAGACAGCGCTGGCGGATCTGAAGATGAGGCTCTGGCTCACTCCACACCCCACCTTCCCTGCAGGTGCCCCACTGAAATGGGCCTGCAAAGGAGCACTCCCTAGTAGGAGGTTGCCACCCAACCCTAGAAAAATGGGATTGGCCCGTTTTTGGACAAAAGTGGCCAACGTCCCTTTTGGACTTCAAACAGGATGCCTTGTCCCTCGTATTTGAGCTCAACTGGCCCCAAATGGTGGCTGCATCACTGTTGGTGTGGCTAAGGAGAAGCCCAGCCCAAGTGACAACAGAGAGAAAGGGGAAGGAGCAACCATCTCTCCCTCGCCCCCTCCTTCCTTCCCTCTCACTGGGGCTCCTTCTCAGCCGCCGCCTGCCAGTCAAGCATGGCACACAGTTGACACAACTTGGCCCCCTCCGCCATCCCAACCTGACCTCTCCTCTGCCCTGCTCATCTCTTCTGACGCCAGCATGGGGAGCCAGCCGTATACCCCTGGCCCTGCCCTTCTAAGAGGGGGGAGGATTTGGTGTCACAAGAGTGTGTGTGCCCCCCAGTCCCAACCCCCAACCTGTCCTTGCCCGACCTATCCTGTATTTTGTCCTGCTTGACCAAAGGTGGCAACCCTACCTAGCAGAGACCCCCCCCGTCCGTTGGGCATTTGAGCGTTGGGTCTGGCCGGCTGAAGGCAGCCCCTTGTAGAGTCTGGCTTCCCCAGGAGAAATGCTTCCCCATTCCAGAGCCCCTCCTTGCACATGCCAGGCTCCGAGGAAAGGATTCCAAATTACCCTTTGCTCTTCAATAGACATTTCCAACTCTAAATAATAAAAAGCTATACTAGATTTCCTCTGTATCAAAACAAATGAAATAAAACCCTCAAGGATATATAATGTTCCCTGGATTTGCTATCCTTGAAAAAATATTTGGGGAAAGACAAATGACTTGCATGCAAAACATAAAATACAGCTTAATAAATATATCATAATAGGAACAACTTTCATTTTAATCTAAAATGGCACTATAACTTGAGCACTCTGTGGTCCACATAACAGCTTTGATGAAGAGACAGGAATTGTTCATTTACATCTCAAACACCCTTTGGGCTGAAGGTACTTCCTGTGGTTTGAGACTGCTCCTACTTGCCATTTTTATGTAATTTCTCATTTGAAAACTGCTTTCTAATTTTATTTCATTTGTTCTCTCAGTAAGTTGGATGCATATTTTACCATGCTTAGAGTAGGCCTATTGAAATCAATGGCACAAATCAGGCAGGACTGTAACTGCTTTTCTAGTTTTATGTGCATTTCCATATGATGAAAGCAGGGCAAGCAATGTGTCGGGGGGGCACCCTTCCCCCCCACCCTCCCCACATCACCCACTGCAAGGTCCTTTAATGCCACGTGAAACTCAGCGCAGGAGGACAGAGGAGGAGGGGCAACTTTATGGGAGCGACAGGGGTGGCAGCTGGGAAAATGCAGGGAAGAAAAAAAATGATCAAAGTCCCCCCCCTTTTTTTTAAGACTACATTTCTGGTGTTTGTCTCTCCAGGGAGAATTTATTTGCTTTGGAGTATGTGAACGTGCACTTGAAGAATAATTGAGAGAGGAGAGAAACAAAGGGACTCCCTCTCTCCAAGAGGAACTGCGGAAATCGCCTTTACGGTTAGCTCAGATCTGGGCACATGAAGGCGAGAGGCAGGGCCTGCATCTCCTTTCTTCTCCTAGGCAACTGGCAGCTGCCATTCGGGACCTTTGTGTTGGCTGGACAGTTCTGGAAGCGTGGTCTGCTCCCATGGCAACCAGGGATGCAAACAGCATCAGGCTAGGGGAGAGGGAGAGAGAGAGAGAGAGAGAGAGCGCATAGAGGGGTGCTCCCCACTTGCCCCCCTGGTCCCACCGCAGCATGGCATCCGCCAAGGAGAAGACAGGCACAGACAGCAATGTCATCACACGCGAGCAGCTGCTGAAAGAGGAAGAGGTAGGACCTTGGGCCCTGGCCAGAAATACAAGTGAGGCAGCCTAGGTGGCTTCTAGAATATGCACAGGAGAGCACTCCTCAACTTTCAGGCTGATATTGCAAATATGGAGGAGCCCAGAACATTGCTGCCGGTTAATGCGAGTGTGACACATGGACCTGTGGCAGTGAGTTCCACAGATTAATAAGTTCCATCTAAGTCCAATGCTGAATGCTTCCTGGGAAAACTGTAAAAACTTTCCTCTTTGGCCTTTTAATTCAGCTGTCAGGATTAAGCAGATTTTAATATAATTGTATAGTTTGTCTCTATTGCACATATTTTTAAAATAGTTAGGGTTGTTTTTGGGAAATGCCAGGTTAGAAACTGAGCTAAGTTTGATGGTTCATGGATATTAGACGTGTCTAAAACATGACTGGAATTTTTTAAATTACAAATAAAATGCCGCCCTTTTAACAAACAATATTGAAACAACTTCATTTGAAATCCCCACAAATATGTGCAATCCTATGCATGTCAGCTCAAAAGTAACTTGTCCCAGTGAATTAAATGAAATTTCTACCCATGTAGAATTGGAATGTGGCCTTTCCCTCTCAAAATGGATCCTGGCTTTCGCTTCATCTAGAATTCAATAGCAATTCTGGGATGTCTGAAAGTTTCTCCTGAGAACATTCCTTTAACATTCTTCAAAATCGTTACAGAATTTTTGCCTGATCAGAACCTGATTTTCCTCACATTTTCCTTTGCCAACTTTTTTGTCAGCTGTGGGTGGCTAAGGACTATGTGTGGCCTACACTTTATTTTCTTACATTTATATTTCACCTTCCTCCCATCATTGTTCCCAAACTGGCATAAATGTCTTTGCAGGATCTCTCCCATCCAGGCACCGATAAGAGCTGTTTATCTGTTTAGCACCAATATGACGATGGTCTCCTGTCAACGTCTAATGATGTGATAAGAGTAGCTAGTTAGCCAGTTGACTGACCCTGTGGAGAGACATATTGGACTACATTCCCACAAGCAATAGTCCAGTGGCGTAGCGTGGGGGGTGCAGGGGGGGGCGGCCGCACCGGGCGCAACATCTGGGGTTAGGGCAAATCCACGGGTTAGGGGGCGCAAATCCACGGGTTAGGGGGCGCAAATCCATGGGTTAGGGGGCGCAAATTACTTGCCTTGCCCCGGGTGCTGACAACCCACGCTACGCCACTGGCAATAGTGAATACAGGATAGTGAAGATCTAGGAAAATATTTCTCATCACATGAGCACTGGCTCCCCCTGTGGTTGCATATCTCCTGCATTACGTTTGCAAATGCTGACAAACAGCCGGCTGCCAGCATCCCTGGGGTGGCATGAGAAAGGGCTTCTGTTTCTCCCATTAGAAACAGGGTACAAGCTCGAATTTTTGCCAGGGGGCTGGCTGGGGTCTCAGCCCCAGGCGAAGTCTCTAGAGGGGAGCCACTGAAGCTCCCAGCTTGCGGGGGGCTTCCTCCAACCGCAGCCGGCTCCGGAGTCTTAAAGGGTCCTTGGGTGTCGTAGTCCTGTGCTGCTCAGCTTCAGCAGGGCTCAGTGGCGGGAGAGGGCAGCCAACCAGCCAAGTCTCAGGGGGGTCCTTGCCTGGAGGCAGAGTCCATATACAAGGTTCAGTCCAGTCCTAAGGGCAGGGGCATCTCAGTTCACGTAGTCGGACTATCCGGGGGTCAAGAAAGCCGAGAGTCCAAGGTAACGAGAAGCAAGAAGCAGCAAGGTCTGGCCAGGCGAACATTGTTCGCAGCAACAGACTGAGGTTGGAAACCCTGCTTAAGAAAGCTGGAGCCAGCTGGCTCACATCAGGAGCAAGAAGGCTGATCAGAGGGGAGTCACTCTGCCTTTGGCTCCTTCAGGCTGCTGCTCAGCAGGTGAAGCTGACTCCTGACCCATGACATTCGGCACCACAGAGTCTTTGGTAGTGTGGGTCTTGAGCTGCTGAGCATAGGAGGGATGCTAATTTGCAAAGGGAAGCAGGAAAACCTGGAAACGATCCTCCTTTCCTCCTGTCTGTTTTTGGAACTGTGTACAAAAGAGAAATCCTGGAGAAGGTTGATCTCCAGGCAAAGTTGAAAAATGGAAGTTTTGTTGCTTTCTTCTTTTGTTTCCCTCAATGTCTCAGAGATCAATTAAAAGTGGTGAAGAGATCAGAACACCAGAACACCACCTCCTGTCCTTTTTTGGGGAACAGAAGCTTTTCTGCAGCCCATTGTTCCAGTTACAGATGGGTAGCCGTGTTGGTCTGCCATAGTCAAAACAAAAAAAATTCCTTCCAGTAGCACCTTAAAGACCAACTAAGTTAGTTCTTGGTATGAGCTTTCGTGTGCATGCCACACTTCTTCAGATACACTGGAACTATGGAAGGCACCACATTGAGCCGCATGAAATGGAAGTCCATCAACCTCACCTGTGTATCTGAAGAAGTGTGCATGCACACGAAAGCTCATACCAAGAACTAACTTAGTTGGTCTTTAAGGTGCTACTGGAAGGATTTTTTGTTGTTGCAGCCCATTGTGTAAACAATTTAAATGTCAAGTTCACAAGATAAGCACTTTGGAGTATTGCTTGCTTATCTCTCTCTCTCTCTCTCTCTCTCTCTCTCTCTCTCTCTCTTCCTGTGTGTGTGTGTGTGTGTGTGTGTGTGTGTTATGTACTGAGTTGAATAGGATCCAAAATGCAGCAGTCTGATTGGTCCTAGAACAATAGGATTCAGAATGCAGCAGTCTGATTGGTCCGCAGGAGCCACCCAATCCAGCTCCAGGTGGAAGTGAATCCACATCCTGATTGGCCTACAGGAGAATCCTGGAATTAGCCAATCACGTGCAGCCCATTGTGTAAATAATGTATATAAAGCAGATATTTTGGGGGGACTTTCATTCCTCCTCACCACTATGAGCTGAGTAAAGAGCATGAAATCCACTCTCGACTCCAAGTATATTTCAGTGTGTTTGGCTGTAGAGGACAACATGCTTGTTTACAGCATGTGAATACATAAAGAGGGCAATGCTTCATACAATCAGCTACAAAAACGGAGTCCTCTTTATACTGGAAATAAAATACCTGCAATGAAAGAAATGTGATGCTGACATACAAATCATTTTGTATTTATCCCTTCTTGTAATTTGGAAGGAAAATGTAGCTAATCCACTTTAAATTCTTTAATTGCAATGGTTCAGCAGCTGGCAATTTTTTAACAAACTTGTGGAGTTTTTTATTTTATTTTATTCTTTAGAGCCAGAAACTGGAAGCCTTACTACTCAGAAGTAAGTCCCACTGTCTTTATGCCCTTTATGAACAAATGTGTTGACTTGTGTATGTGTGTGTGTGTACGCAAATGCACGTCTCTCTCTCTCTCTCTCTCTCTCTCTCTCTCTCTCACACACACACACACACACACACACACACAGAGAGAGAGAGAGAGAGAGAGAGAGACTAGGTCTTTGCCCTGAGTGACAGAAAGCCTAGTTTCAGCCCTGCTTTTGCTTTGCACTAACTATCTTTCATTGCATTTCAGATGTTAGCAAAAGCTCAAGCATATGCTAAATTGCTCCGAAGGTAAATGGATTTTGAAATCCTGTTTTCTAACTGTGGACTTTGGTGGCTAAAAGCCTTTTTTTCAGTAAAGAAACAATGACACAGGCTGCCTCCAGGGTGGCAAAGCTTTTGACACCCAGCTGAAAATGCAGCTAGGCAAAAACTCACAAATTGATGATAAACACCAAAACCTTCCAGACCCAACGGCCTCATTAAAGCCAGTCTCTGTGCTGGGTCTGAAAGCCACACCAGATGTTGGCTGTGGCCGGCAGATAAGAGCCATTCCTTTGCTCTGGATGGCAAAGCATAACCAGCATCTGTGTGATTCCTATGGATGCTCACTACATTGCATTTAGCTATGAACTAAAGGACAACCCCACCCCCACCCCACATAATTATGTGTTTATGTGAAACATTTCTATACCACCCTTCATACTACAGAAGCTCACAATAATATCAATACATTTCTCCAAAAAATAACAGGTTAAAATACAACAAAACATAAAAATCATGTTGAAGCCTACCATTCTATTAAAGTCTTTGTTCATTTCGTGCTCCACTTTCTGCATTTTGTCATATGGTTCATTCCTACAGTGGTTCCTGGTTTGAGGATTGCAGGAATAGGGCTCACACATTTACGCATGTTTATTTGCACATATGCTGGAGGGATGTATGTGGGGTTAGTCCCACCCCCTTTAAAAACCTCTGGCTGCGTTAACACACAACACTAAGCAATGCACAAGGAGGCTGCACAAAGCCACAGGCTTGCAAACTTCTCCCTCTCACACCCCATCCTCCCTTTCAGCCAAGAGGAAGACTTCACCAAAGGTTCATTTTTCATGATTCTTGCCATGTTGTTACAGTAGAACCAGGAATCATAGTTTCAAAGAAAAAAATCTGGTCAGCTCCAAAACATGATTGCATGTTTCACTAACCATAGTTTGTTTTATACCACAAACCATGATCTGCACTTAGGGACAAGTCAGGAGTCAGGTGAAGAGGCCCTGCCCACCCGTTTTTGGAAAGGAAGTAGCAGGGCTCCAGGATCTTGCCAGAGCATCACACCTCCTTCCCTAAGATGGGCAAATGCTTCTCGGGCTGTGGGATGAAGGCAGGATGCTCTGACGGGGTCCAAGAGTCCTCTCACCTCCTCCCCCCTCCCCCAAGGGTGGTGGTACGTACTGTTGCATACCGCCAGAAAAAGGTAAAAAGGTAAAGGTACCCCTGCCCGTACGGGCCAGTCTTGACAGACTCTAGGGTTGTGCGCCCATCTCACTCTATAGGCCGGGGGCCAGCGCTGTCCGCAGACACTTCCGGGTCACGTGGCCAGCGTGACATCGCTGCTCTGGCGAGCCAGAGCCGCACACGGAAACGCCGTTTACCTTCCTGCTAGTAAGCGATCCCTATTTATCTACTTGCACCCGGGAGTGCTTTCGAACTGCTAGGTTGGCAGGCGCTGGGACCGAACAACAGGAGCGCACCCCGCCGCCAGAAAAAAAGCCCTGCTTAAAATGCAGTACTGCATTTAATGTAACATGTAGCCTGGCCCTCGAAAAGAAGTTTGGAAATGTCTTCATTCTGCAAATAATACAACAGCAATGACTGGTTTGTGCTGCTCACACGACTTGTCCTGCTTCTGCTTCTGCAGCTGGGAGCGCGGCAAGGCGATGGCCCTGGAGCTGGCAAAACAAGAAGACAGGTGTCTGGAAAGGGCCAGAAAGAGGGAGCAGGCAGAAGTGAAAGAGGAGCTGTACCATGCTAATAAACAACTGAAGATGGTAAAGTTTGAAGACAACTCCCCCCCCCTTTCAGTTTTTAGGCAGGTGCAGCAAGGATGAAATCCTCTCAGTCCAAACAAGAGGACCACTTGTTTTCTGAGGCTTGATTCCTACTTTTCATGGGGAGAAAACAACCTTCAGACATGTACAATTGCATTTGAGAAATAATGTCAGCAATATAGTGAAGGCCTTGCTCATACCATAAGGGCATCAGGTGAAAGCTTGGAAGAGAGGAATGGTTTGCATTTCACTGGTAACTTGCTTTCAGAACACGGACATGATGTAGTAATTAAATCTCTAGTCCCCGCACAATCCAAGTTACAAGGCAAAATGTGCAGGTGCTATCCTGCTCATTAGTTTTGTGAACACTCCTTTCAGTGTTTGTTTCTTCGTAACAATGCCAGCAGAAGCTCCTCACTTGCATGCTAGATCCGACCTTATACTGCACACAACACTATTGTCTCATATAAAATGGAACTGATTTGTAGAAAAGACTTTATGACCTGAAAAAAGAGACAATGCCCTTACTTTTGTAAACTAAGATATTTTTTAATAAAAATTATTTATTAAAAACCCCCACAATAAAGGTGACTGAGAGGCATTCAGAGGGGAAGGAAGATCTCCCTCCTCTGAAGGGAAATGGAATATTAGAAAGTGAGGTAAAAGGTCAATATTTATTATTATCTCAATGAATGAATAAATAAACTGGGAATGGAAAGGAAGGAGTTAAGGGAAGAAAGTTGTTGCAAGAGGAAGAATGAATGTAAAAGGGCCGTGGAAGTCTCGTCTACACCAGGTCACCCAGATTGTACCTGATGCAAATGGAGCCAACCTCAGCTCCTTGGGTGGAGCTCATAAGTGGTATCCATAGTAAAGGTCAAGGGACCCCTGACCATTAAGTCCAGTCGTGGCCGACTCTGGGGTTGCGGCACTCATCTCGCTTTACTGGCCGAGGGAGCCAGCGTATAGGTCATGTGGCCAGCATGACTAAGCCGCTTCTGGCAAACCAGAGCAGCGCACGAAAACGCCATTTACCTTCCCGCCGGAGCGGTACCTGTTTATCTACTTGCACTTTGATTTGCTTTCAAACTGCTAGGTGGGCAGGAGCAGGGACCGAGCAACAGGAGCTCACCCCATCAAGGGGATTCGAACTGCCAACCTTCCAATCAGCAAGTCCTAGGTTCTGTGGTTTAGACCACAGCGCCACCCGCGCCCCGGCATCCATAGTAGCAAGCAGTAATACTGAGCGCAGCCCTTGTTGAAATAGAAAAGAGACAGCAAAGGAGTTGTTGTTAATAGTTTTTCCATGTCCTGCAGGTTCGGCGAGCAGCTTTACGTCATCGCCTAAGTTTTGAGCATCTGCAGTACCAACTGGAATTGAACCACTTGGGCAAGTCATTCTTCACAGAGCGGCTGTGAGCACTTTTCTCGAACAATCCAGACCATTATATGCTGATGCTTTTTCCTATTGTAGAGAGATTCTTCTTTCAATGTTTAAGAATCAAATGCAAGCAGTGAAAGGAAAGATTAAACAGTTTTTGTTTGAATGGTTCGGTATACACTGGAAGTTGCACATTTTGTTTCTGATAGAGGGCAACTCAACTAAACATCAGATTGGACTCTGGTCTAAGCACAAACAATGCACTATGTGAATTTGCTTGCCTGTTCTGAGTGTTTGAAAATGAGCAGCACTTTTAGGTTCACTTATAAATCCTCACCACAACTTCTAATTGACAATAAAGAATAGAATCTATGTTACAGTCTAAGTTTCCCCCCTTTGTCTGACACAGGAAAAGGAAAAGGCAAGATGCAAAATAATTTCACAATTTGCAGCAATTTATTAAAAAACAAACACTAATTGTTGTTTCATTGAAAATTGGTAATGATTAATTGCAGGATGTTTTTAAACCATCCAGAAAATGCAAATTCTACGTATTGTGATTATTGCAGGTATTACGGTGCCAATAAATTAGAATTAGTGCTTTGCAGGCAGTCTTGAAGGGTCAGATTCTGTCCCTTCATCCAGTACCAGACTGTATGGGAAAATATTAGAAACAGCATAGCATGTTTTATGCTGTTCTATATGGTGTGGTTGTAAAGCTCAGATAAGACTACTTTTCACCCTGCAGCAAGGTGAATTCTTTATACCTTGGCATTTTCTATTTCAACCTTAAATGTACAGTGGTACCTTGGGTTACAGATGCTTCAGGTTACAGACTCCGCTAACCCTGAAATAGTACCTCAGGTTAAGAACTTTGCTTCAGGATGAGAACAGAAATTTCACGGCGCCAGCGGGAGGCCCCATTAGCTAAAGTGGTGCTTCAGGTTAAGGACAGTTTCAGGTTAAGAACAGACCTCCAGAACGAATTAAGTTCTTAACCCTAATTTACATTTCTGGGCAGTGTCAATACTTGTAAAGTATTTCCTTTCCTTCAAGGAACTTGGTAGCTCCTTTTTATCTTCGCAACAACCCTGTGAAGTAGGTCAGGCTGAGAGATGCCAGTGACTGGCCCAAGATCACCCAGTTGGCCTCATGGCTGAGCGGGGACCTTGAACCCCGGTCTCTCCCAGGTCCTACTAACACTCTAACCACAAGAGGGACCTGCGGTCTAAAGCTATACCAGGCCAACCCATAATTGTCTAGCCGGCCTGCATAACCCGGTCATGACGAAGTTTGCCAGGCTTGTGTATGTGCTCCTGGCTCTGTTCCTTCCATCTAATGTTTTCCACACAGAGAAAGAGGACAGATTATCCACACACACACACACACACGATCTGCCCTGTTTATCAGAGTTCTTCGCCTGGGTGGAAAAAGCAAATAAGAATGAAAATTATTTAATTGGCTCCAATAATTGCTTGCAATTCCTTTGCCATTTTCAGCAGATGTAATAGAAGATAACACAGCAGAAAGCCAGATAATGATTAAATTGCAGCGTATGTTTACAGTCTGCATTCTGCGTCATAGATTCTACGGAAGGCTTTCTCTTTCATAACAAAGGATCCAAGATAATGCTTGTCATATTTTCAAAATAGCAGGGCCTCCCTCCACAGCCTCATGTCCCCCATATGGGACTATAAAAGGCAATTTTGCTCAGAAGAGCTCTGAAAGTGGAGCATGAACCAGCACAAGTCAGAGGTGCCATAGGCAGGAAAACATTATTGTCCACTGCGGACAGTGATTACTCTTGCCCAACAGCTGAGCTTCTCTGCTGTGTGTCTGCATAGCAAATCTAAACTTCAAGAAAGGACATCCATCCAAACCAGCCTTGTGGGCCAGCCAGAACCCGTGGCCAACATCACACAATTAGATTTCAGACAGAGATGACAAGGAGTTTTGGAAACGAAGGGGACAAACATCTCTGAGCCATTATGAGCTGAACCATTTCACCGCAATTCATAATGGCTCCCCAACATTCTGCTCATCTACCCGTTTCGCCTTCCTTTCCCAGACTTACAAATAGGGCTGACAAATGGAGTTGGTGGATATAAGAGGGGGACCCAAGTAAAATTGTCAGGCATGCTGACCACCAGTAACGTGTGGCTTCCACCCAAGAAACCCCATTTAGGGTGAGGAAATGACAAGAGAATACATAAAATTTGGCTTATGGCAAGCTGAAAAAGGCACCCCCACTGCTCCACAATCCCAAGGCTGCTTCCCTCAGCTGCTGTTTACAGCACCAAATATGTGCATGTTAATTGAATTCACACAATTTCAAAGAGTGCTTAGGCACTCTGAATATCTGCAGGCATCAAGAAATACTTAGAACATTTTGAATGATATGGGAGCGGTTCTTGATTGCTATGCCCAGATAATTATGGCATAATTAAGCACCTTTTCTTCTTCTTTGAAGCCTGCCTGGAGAACCAGGAGCCAAGAAAGGTTAGCATCCATAGGAATTGTGCAGGGCAATTGTTGTTAAAACACCGTCCACATTTTAAAAACCACTCATCCCTCTTTACTTCCTCATCAAAACCATTCAGGACACAAATACTGTGCAGTCTATCAAAGGGAGGGGAGATATTATGTTGTCTCCAATTCCTAAATGCCAGATAACGTTTCAAGTATCTGAACAAGCAGCAGTTCTTAAAAGTGTACATGCCTTGTCTGCTTCCCTGATTTGTTCACAGAATTCATTGGCTTTACTGGGAAATCAAAAGGAGTTTTCACTTCACTTTGAATTTTGCTTGATGTGTTTCCCACCATTGCTTTATTTAAATATAACCAGTTTAACAGCTATTTTAGGAAAGGAAGCATTATTTGCATTATATGGCAAATTATTTTAGCCTTTGGAACTGCTGTGATCATTGATGTTCTAGCTCTTAAAATTTCATCTGGCTTCTGCATTTGTTAAAAAGTACACACAGAATGACAGTTAAACTGATGGGTGAGGGCCAGGTAAAGTTGCCAGACAGCAATTCAGGGGAGGAATCTCTATTTTTAAAGGACTCTACAGTCTGCTTTGGAAGAACATGCTACATACCCTCCAAAATAGGGACATTTCTCACTCCCTACCCTGACTTTCCTTGACCCCGATGTCATTCAAAATATATGAACAAGCCACTTCAAAATGATGTATATATCATACAACACATTTCACAAAATATACAAGTAACTACAAGTTGTTATATGTATCTGAGTCAAACAGAGAATCAAACAAATCAATGAATAGTGAGGAACGCCAAGCCGTCTCTCAAAAGAAGACGTCTCTCCGAAGTCTCAAAAGGACAGTATATCCGGAATAGTTCAACTGTTTCGGAATAAAGTCTTCATTGGCTGGAAATGGAATATAAGGTACTCCAAGCAATGAATGACAAGAAAACTGAGCAACCTGCATATAAGTTATACAGTAGAACAAAATATATAAAGAGGTACATACCGAATAATTATCAATGAAATACTCATACTAGTGGATCAGGGCTCACTGGATAGTGTAGCTGCTGATGCTTACAACACAAATGCATAGGACATATAAAGTTGACCACCGGTGTCTCAAATAACAATTATTGCAGACAATGTAAAGAAACTTCAAGGAACAGTACGTCAATGCTACCCATAAAGTGACAGACTTAAAATAGAACAGATTTGGATCACACATCAGCATTTGGATACAGATTTATTATTTACAGTACTATGGGTGAACCAGAAGAAGCGTGGGGTTGGGCAAGATTTTGAACGGTTATTGCGTCAACAAGAAACCCATTTAATTTATTTGTTTAAATCCACATATTTGGAGGGATTGAATTCAGAATTCAACTTCAATGGTTTTATTTAAAATCTGTTTTATGTAAAACCTGTTGTATTCTAATACTATTTCAAAACCATTCTATTTGAAGTCTGTCGCTTTATTGGTCTCTTTGCATTGTGATGCCAGAATTGCTGTAATGTTCCTTTAAGTTTGGCGCTGGCTTCTGAAGCCAGAGGCAGGGCACCAGCTTGGCGGCTTCCCTTCACCGCATGGATGAGCCAGGCCTGCTGAGCACCAATCTCGGAGAAGTAGAATGGGGCAAAGGACAACCCCCGTTTCCCCTGCTCAGATCAGCTCCATGCAGTGAGGAATTCAGTGTCCTGCACTGACACAAATTTGTTTGGCCCAGCGGTACATGATGTCACTAGATTGTCTTTGCTCAGATCAGCAGGCACAATCCAATGATGGACATACACACCATCTAGATGTGATTATCAGTGCCTTCAGAAGCGATGGGCTGTAATAATTTGCAGTGTGAGCTGAATGGCTAATGTGCATAAGAACCAGCCATTCTGCACATTCCCCACATAACCTGTCCATGAAGAGGAATCTGCTCTTTTTCTGGCTGACATACATCCTCTCGAAGAGGCCTTGAGGAATGTGCGTCTCTCAACAGGATTTTGTACATTCTCTGGGCAGTATGCATAATCTCAGACAGGCTTTGGGGAATGTATATATCTCAGTTGCACCTCATAAATTCTTAGCCAATGTGCATACTATCCGACTGACTCCATAGGACTGAAGCCTATGGATTGCAGGACTGAAACACATGATTGCAGCTACTCTCTGAAGGGCCAAACTGCATCTCAAAATCTGCATTAAGCCCACAACTTCTGCCAGAATGCAAAGCATCCTTTAGCTTTAATTAAAACCTTTCTTTATGAGCTTAGCTCAGCCAAATGGCTAGGTAAATTCCTTATTAAATTTAAGCAACAATTAAGCATATCTGCCATACTTTCTATTCTATAATTATATGAAACGCAAGTGCATATTTCTTTCCTTTTCATTGTTTTATTTTCCTTGAATAAGCATGCTATTGGGATGGGCTGCAGGCTAGGTTCTTTGTTTTAATTGTACCTTGTTACACTTGAATACAATCATTTTTATTGCTTGCTGCAGATGTTTCTCAAATTAGCACAGGACATTGAACCCACTATCTTTTGCAGAAGGAAATTGTTCACTTCTGCTTATTAACCCAAATTAGTCTTGAATGTCACTATATGGTAATACTCAGTCTGATAGTCACATGCATATATATAAGTTGTCCTTTCTTTGGGGTAGCTTCTCTGCTTAATTCACCCAGGAAGATTCTCCTCATGTGCGGGTGATATTGCTAATTCCCTCTCCCCACACCTTCCAAATTGTGACTCCGCTGGACATCAGTCTCAGCTGTTTGGCTTTACTTTTAAGTTGATTCTTCCTCCTACTCCTTTCAACTCCTAGGTTAACTATCTATGAAGAAAAGAGTCAAACAGATCTAAATGAATGGGGGGGGGGAAATGTCCAA